CTCCCGCTCTTACCTTCAGATCGCTCGAACGTTTGACCGGAAGTACTCGTCAACGCACACAAATCAGACGCCATATTGTTGACAGAGCCAATTATGAACGACTCTGCGAACGCTCCGTCGTTGTGGCGACATTCGGCGCGACCCCAACGAGTTAGGGAGTATTTCGATTTTCGCGAGTTGGGATTAGAAATAATCTGCTAATATTATTGTACAAAACGTTTTTGTACAAATTAACTTTCTTACCACTCTGCTACCGCCATCTTGTGTTAAACAGAGGTATGTCCATAAACTTGTACACAGAAAAAATCTTCTTCCTGTTTGTGTTTCAGCTGCAGAGAAATACTCTTCACATCACGTCACGCTAACGTTCCCAGTCGAAAATGGTCACATGACCAAAGACGCGTCCTGATTGGCACATGTACGTTTACCTCCGCTGCGCCGCGCGTGTTGCGTATGGAGATGCTAATTAAGAAATAATTGGAGGGGATAGTGAAATCTTCTCAGGCGTGGAAGATCTTCACCCAAATGTTAATTCCTCTCGGAATAACATTAACGTACGCACAGATGTTAATGCCGGGTCTACGTTAGACTCCCGAGTCTTGCTCCGCTTTCCCACTGCGCATGTGTTCTCCCCATCAGCTCAGCCAGAAGCCTCGTGGATCTGTCAACCCGGGGAGAAATTTCCATTTGGAAGCTAAGTCTGCAGCCTTTTGATGGATACGTCTTCCCGACTTTTATCTCTCGGTGCGTCTGCAAACTAATTAATTTTTTTTTTTTTTTTTTTTTTACTCACAAACACTGTCTCTCTCCTCAAGGCAAATATTTGTTTCTTCAGAAGTGAGCGTGGGCAAACCTTCCTCACGGCTCCATATGCTGCCAACTGCCAATCAAACGGGCTGGAACCCTAAAACTAATCGCAACCCCCTTACTCCTCCCCCTCCTCCTCTCCCTCTGCCTCCTCTTCCTCTTCTCCCGGAGAAATAAAAGGGGGGGGGGGGGGGGGGGG